TCCACACTTCTTCAGGTGTGATGTTTTTGACTGCCAAGGTTGGACAACTGTTCAACAAATAATTGCTCCAATTTACTGCCTCTGCCCAAAATGGTTTTGGAATTCCCTTCTCTGAGAGCATTGAACGAACCATGTTCATTACAGTTCTATTCTTCAGTTCCGCCACGCCATTTTGTTGAGGGGTGTAGGCAGTTGTCAGCTGCCTTTTAATGCCATTCTCCATGCAGAAGTTGTTGAATTCAATTGAGGTGAACTCGCCTCCCCTTTCTGTACGCAGACACTTGATGCTTAAATCTGTCTCATTCTCCACCATTTTCTTATAACACTTGAAATGACTCAATGCTTCTGATTTCTCACTCAAAAAATACACCCATGACTTCCTACTATAATTATCTATAAAGCACAAAGAGTACCTTTTGTTTTTGTTGGACATGGGAGTGATTGGTCCATAGATGTCTGCATGGATGAGACCCAATATTTGACCTACTCTCCTAGAACTCTTCCTGGGTACAGGATCACGGTGATGCTTGCCAACAATGCAATCTTCGCACAACTCGTCTGAGACGGTGAAATTAGGAAGGCCATGCACCATTTTCTTGCTCTGCAAGGTCCTCAAACCCTTGTAGCTTAAGTGTCCATATCTCCAATGCTAAAGCTGAGATAGATTCTGTGAGCTTGTGTGAAAACACTCTTCATGTGGTTGCTGAGACATCATTTGTGATTGGGCAAACAAGATGAGCATCCTATTTGTGCTCATGTCAGTCTGAATAATCAAACCCTTATAGGGATGAAATATCTTGCATACCCCTCCCTCAATCAATTATTGTTTTTTTTTTCTAATTTTGCTTTTTAGAGACGTCCAAAGCATGTAATACGATAATTGAATATGTATAAGACAATTGATAATTGAATCCCAAAAAGTTAACTAGATTGAGACATTCATCAAGTTCGTTCATTGAATCAAAATCCATGATTAAATAAATTGTAAAATAAATGTTAATTCATCCAATTGAGTTGCATGCTTGTAGCATGTGACTATGTATTTGATTATCAAGAATGTCATCATCCTTAAGAAGAAAGATTCTTCACAGCTTTGCAGTTCGTTGAAAAATTGTCTTCATGAAATAATGTCTTTCGTGTGGTTAGGGGTTGGGTAGAGGGGGCTCATAATACATAACTTTTTCTTTATTATTATTATTTTTATTTTTTTCCGAATAACTCAAGAATAAGTATATAGAAAAATCATTCAGTCTAAATCAAGGCGCGCGTGTAAGTTTATTCTTAGTTGATCCCTCGCACTTGTCGAAAATTGTGAGATATTGTGTCTCCTCAAACCAGTATGATTAGATTCGATTCAATCTTGACCCCGATTTTACGTATTTGTCCATATACTTCACGATTCACGAAGCCTACGACGGCAAATTCTTTTGCTCATATAAGTTCCAAATGGTTGCTTAAATTAGATGACATTCAAATTAAGGCATTAATCATTAGAGACTTATCCACACTTGCTGAAAGCAACATTCATTTATTTTTTTTCCTTGACAGCTTGATCCCATTACATCCCAAACTAATTAATCATGCCCATAAATTAGTTGCGGGTGTCACCCGGCAATAATTTCATAATTTCTCAGTAAACGTTAAGGACCAATTTGCTACTTAAAAAATAGATTGAGGACCAGTAATGCAATAATCTTCCTAGAGAAAGAATTTGTTTGACGGCCTATTGGGTAATTTGGTTAATCTAGCCTCCGCAAATTAAATTTTATTTCTTGCAAATTTTGCGATCAGTTTTAAGGTTAAAGAATCAAATTTGGATTATTTTAGTTTTAATAGCTACGAATTTACTTATTCAGCAGGATTTTTCTTGAAATAATAAAATGCAAAAATAATGTGTCATTTTTTTATATTTAAAAATGGAAATAAGGAAAATTTATAGTGGCTGCAAAATATCGACGTTGTTGAGATTTGAAAATAATTGTGTACTAAAGAAAATATGTGATATGTTGACGTCCAATCCATGAGCGAATATTACACAATATTTTTATAATATTTGAATCGGCTAAGTGAATATTTTTTAAATTTTTTATTAGCTTTGTCATTAAGTTTATTGAAAGATTTAATTAAGTTTGACAAATTACTTCTATTTTTTTGTGTGTTTGGTTGAGCTTAAAAAGCGATATTTTCACAACAGTAATTTTACTACGTAATATTGAAAAAAAAAAAGTAACTTATTCAAAAATAAAAATTTCGTATTATCTCAAGGGTCAGTGCGATGTCCTGTACACCTCTAGCACATATTAGAATAATAACAAATTTTCTATTTTTTTTTTTTCATTTTTAGAGATAAGTACTACTTATATATATTCTCGAGACGGTAAAAAAACGTTCAACTCCATTAGAAATTTCAATATATGTAAGTTATAAAAATCAATTTACGTAGTCGGCTCTATTGATTTTTCACATGATTATAGTGGATGATGACCTTTTTTATTGGAAGATGTTGACATCGTAACATGATTGAAAGGATAGATTATAATATATTAGGTAGTGCATGCCTATTTTTATTGAAAATTAAACTAATTAGTATATTAATTAATTTCATTGATTTGGTTTAAAAAAAAAGGTGGGGTGGGGGTGGTTGTGGGTGGGGTGGGGTAAGGTAGGGGTGCAGTTCGGTGTGTATGTAATCATGCATAGATTAATAGTTGAAGGAGTGCATGCAGGTGCAACACTTTTGCTTTTTAACAGAAATAAAAACAGATGGCTTATTTTTAACCCAAAACAGCTACTTTTTTATTTTCTCCTCCCGCCAAGTAAACCCAGTATTTCCTTTTTGATAACTGAAAGTAAAAGTTTCTCAACGAACATTGGTGTGTGTTTGTCTATTAATGTATTGGACGTATAAATTTATATAAATGTTAATCGGTAATGTTGGTCGAGATTGAATACAATTGAATCGAAGATGTACTGATTGAGAATTCGTGGGATCTCTTCGGTGCTCGAGTTCTTTGTTGGTTTCTGCGTTTTTTTTAAATGTAACGAACCAAATTGCTTGAACGTCAAAATTGGTCCATTTCTAGCAACGTTCGAGAATTATTGAATCAAATTGAGCAAGTTGATTTTATTCTTCACCATGCTACCAACACTCAAAAAATTGTTTTTTGACTAGTACATTTGCGTTTGCAGAAATTTGAGCCAAACCACGTCATCCCTCTAATACATATTTACTCAGACGTATGTTGAACTAGACACGTGAAATTGAGTGATGCGTCTTAATTAAGATTCATGCTTGTTATCGATTAGTAAAATAGCAATTAAATTTACTACTATTTGTTTGATAAAAACGTCATCGTCGTGTAGTGCACATTTTTCTTCTTGATGTAACCTATCTATACCTTTCTTCTTGATGGTGACTCAAAAATTAATTAATTTTTTGCTATGCTAAATCACCTCTACATATTTAAACGATGAATAATTATCATCTAACAGAAAAAAAAGAAGGGTTTTTCTTTTAATCTGTTCATTGTAAACCTTTAATCTCCACCTCTCCTCGTCCATATAATCTTCTTATCGTCTCCTTCTCCTTTTTAGACATGTTCATAAATAGTAAATTCGTACGATAGAAATTCTAAATTATACTTTTGGACTTCTAGAGTTTTAAATATGACAATGACATGTTCATCCAAATTAATTAAATTTGAATTAAGCTCATCGAGCCCTTTAAAACCTAACCCGTGAGTCGGTGACCAACATCTAAATTCAAAATTTGAATGGGGATTAACAAATTAACACGTAATTATCATTAAAAGATACCTTGTCACGCTTCACGTAAGCATGTAAACACACAGCCCAATTGTCTTCGCTGAATCTTTGCGCGTGAAACATACGTGCTGGAATACGTAGGGTTAACGATACACGAGGACAAACATAAAATGCAGACAACAAAGAGCTGGCAACAAATTTTGTTTATAACTAAATTAATTGGACAACAAATGGATGGACCGATATTGAGATTGACTAGAGAATCTTTGCATTTTGTACACGAATAAGCAAAAAAAAAAAAAGAGAGGAGTTTTTCTTGATTTTTACCATAAATATGTATTTATTATACAGTACTAGACATTTTCATGAACAAATTTTTTACTTATTTGTCTATTACGTCCTAATTTTGTCTGATTCGCTTACCAAATGAATAATATACATACGTAACATATATAGAAACGATTCAGAATATAGCTATATTCAATGAAGCATTGAATTAGTGTACAACGAAATTGTTTAAAACATATTTCCAGTTTCAACTTGCACGTAAAAGGTTAAAAGTCAATTTACTGGTAAAATATAGTCAATTTTCAAGGTGAATTGAGTCGAATTTGGAGTTGAACCAACTAGTTCGATTATTTTGATCGATTTGCATTTGGACGATTTTTTTTAGTTTTTTGATTGAATCAAATTGTCCATTCGTATTTTTATAAAATAGAAATTAGTTAGTACGGTCTAATTCATCGTAAGAAACCAGCTATAAACGTATATGTAGAAAGATAATAGACAAAAATGAGTCCATTGCTTCATCGGATGAAGTTCCGGATTAGCCCTTAGTATAAACGTGGAAGGGAGTCCAAAATGGGGCCCATTTTTTGGGCCCATTTTGTAGGACCCAATGTCCATGAATGGGCCCACCTCTCACTCTCAAAACCACTCAATTCCGGTGTTTAAAAGCAGCTGCAAAGCACCCATTTTTCCAAGTTACTCAGCTGTTTTTATCACATTCAGTCCGTGACACGGCTCTCTCTGGAATTCACTCATTCATTATTTTTATCTTTGTTTCCTCCTTTTTCTCTAGTGAAAATAAGTAGAGAATAAAGTGCAAAAGGGAAAGTAGAATCTAAGAATAAGCTGTTCAGTGGGGGAAAAAGTTATATTTCTTTTTGTAAAGTTACAATCTTGAAACTAAAGGGTGCATTATGAGTTTGAACATTGCAATTTTGCATGTGGTAATGTTGTTTTTGAGCTCATGGGTTTCTTGTGGAACAGCCTCTGTTTCATATGACCATAAGGCCATTTCTGTGAATGGACAGAGGAGGATTCTTATCTCTGGTTCCATTCACTATCCAAGAAGTACACCGGAGGTATATTTATTACCAATGTACATTATTGTTTCTTTTGTTTTTCGTTTTCCTGATAAATAAGGTGTTTTTATTCTATATATTGTCGAGTCCGGTTCGGTATAGTCGAGTCTGTCCAGTACAATATCTGTCTATTCCCGTCCAATGAAGCGCAGTAAGACAATATATTATTTTAGAGCCCCATTGTATTTTTTAACAGTAGATTGATGACAAAGACGTGGTTAAAAAATAAGTTTTTTTTTTGAATTTACACGTAATATTATCTTATTAAAGAATTTGTGATTGAGGAGACCTTTCAGAAAAAATATCTTTTCCATAAAAGAGTCGCATGAAGCTTTTTTTTTTTTTGGGTATATCAGATGTGGCCAGATCTTATTCAGAAGGCCAAAGATGGAGGTTTGGATGTGATACAGACTTATGTTTTCTGGAATGGGCATGAACCTGAACCTGGGAAAGTAAATAATTTTTACCTCCATTTTATGAATATCTTTACTTTTTTTTCCCTTTACATAGAGCAGTAAATTTTTCTTCAGGGTTTAAAATACATATTTATTTATGTTTTTTTGCAGTATTATTTTGGAGGAAGATATGATCTGGTGAAGTTTATTAAGCTGGTGCAGCAAGCAGGGCTTTATGTTCATCTCAGAATAGGCCCCTATGCATGTGCTGAATGGAATTTTGGGTAATATTAGAGAATGAAAATGAAATTTCTGTAGAAATAAATTATAAAAATCCCTTTTTCAGCATAATTTTTGTTTCTTGAGCATCTTTTATTGTTTGAATTTCAGGGGTTTTCCTGTTTGGCTCAAGTATGTCCCAGGCATTAGTTTCAGGACAAATAATGGGCCTTTTAAGGTTAGGCAAATAATAATTGGCATCCCTATCTTCTTCTATAAGGGCATGTTTGTACAGATTATTGGATAGTCATGCACGATATAGTCGATAAGATTTTAACTTCTTTAATCCCACCATGAATGTGAATACTTTTCTAATTACGTGCTCATATTTTTGGTTCTGAAATTCTATAATCACAGGCTGCTATGCAAAAATTCACAACCAAGATTGTGAATATGATGAAAGCTGAAAGATTGTATGAATCTCAGGGTGGTCCTATTATTCTATCCCAGGTATTCAAAATACTCCATTTATTCTGTTTTTACACATTCCAATTTCTCACTTTTACAAATTTCTCGAGTCATTGGTACTTAGTACAAATAGGTAATAGGATTCAAATTGACAAAAGTATCTTGAAGTATATGACAGATTGAGAATGAGTATGGACCTATGGAATACGAGCTCGGTGCACCCGGTCGAGCTTACACACAATGGGCAGCCAAGATGGCTCTGGATCTTGGCACTGGTGTACCATGGGTGATGTGCAAACAAGACGATGCTCCTGATCCAATTGTAAGTATGATTGAATACTTGATATTATTCTTTTTGCACTCTGTTTGTCATCATTTGTTGTCCTCTCTCAATAGTTAGCATACCATGTTAATTGTTAGGCAGCTAATAGCAGGTCCCCATGTAACACTATATCTTGTCTCCTTCTATATGAAGTTTATTTTACTTTTTCTTTATTAAGTTATTGCAGGCCATTGAATCTTGCCTATGATGACGATGAACATATTTCCTTGTTCACGATAATTTTCTCATTGTTCCATATCTCGTGTTATTTTAAAGAATATTTCTCAAGTCTGCACTGTCAAAAGTTGGTACAGTAGTAATAAAACACCTCCATCAAAATAGGATTCCATTATTGCACTAGAATATATTTCAATAAAATGAGAAAATCTTGTGTGCATTAGAATTTATTTTATTTTTCTCTTGAAGTTAAATTCAACGTGCTTTGTTCATCATGCAGATTAATACGTGCAATGGTTTCTACTGTGACTACTTTTCCCCCAACAAGGCTTATAAACCAAAAATGTGGACTGAAGCCTGGACTGGGTGGTAAACTTCCAAACTTGTCCTGTCCTATTTGTGATTCTCTGTAACCGCACATCTTTAAAGGAGTCAGTAAAAAAAAAAAATTCTACTAATTTAACGGTTGATTATCCTGGTATATCCTTTCTTGTAGGTTTACTGAATTTGGAGGTCCAGTTCCTTACCGTCCTGCAGAAGATTTGGCATTTTCTGTAGCAAAATTCATACAGAAAGGGGGTTCTTTCATAAATTATTACATGGTAAATTGACTGTTAACTGAATTTTCTAACTTTTTAAGAAATTATCAATAATATTTCAGCTTAATTTCTTTCACCTCTTCTTGTTCAGTATCATGGAGGAACAAACTTCGGCAGGACTGCCGGTGGTCCATTTATTGCCACAAGCTATGACTATGATGCACCCCTTGATGAATATGGTAAGCAAACAAGATAAGTCTTAGAGCTGTGTTTTCTGCAAGGTTTTTTATTCAATATGTAGCTTGCATACTACATATATCACATCTAGAATATGTTCTGTGAAGGCTTGAATGTGAATTGCATGAAGCGAGAATCAGAGTTAGATACAATTTAAAGCCTGTTACCACTCACAACTTGCCACATCAAGTGAAAGTGTAATTACTGTCTTTTGATAATGACTTAAGAGGCGACCAAATGATTACATATTTTATTATACTGAATAACAATCAAAAACCTTAATAGTACTGACGTGGAGATTGTGATGGTAACACGTGGTTAAATTAATTGCAGTCAACCTCATTATAGGTGGCATCTAGTTCTCGTCGAAAATTACGGGCAAAATGTCGTCAATTGAAATAAGCACATACAGATAGTGATTTTTACTATTTCAGTATTGCAAAATATTAGTATTCAAGAAGTTCAATATCATAGCTAATATAACATTTCTACAATCTACATATAGTAGAAAGCAGGTCCTATAAGTTACTGTGTTTTTCCTGCATGCAAGTCCTACTATAGTTTTATGTCTTATTAAAACATGCAAACCATTTAATTTCCATATAAATATTGTGTTTCAGCCAAAGTAATGCAATAACAAACTAAGCCTTATCCCAATAAATTTGGGATCGCCTACATGCATCATTTTTCACCACTGTGTTTGGACATAACATTGTTAGATGTATTGAAAAATATAAAGCAAATAAATAATGGAAATTCATTTTCCCATATCCAGGACTATTGAGACAACCGAAGTGGGGTCATCTGAAAGATTTGCATAGAGCAATAAAGCTATGTGAGCCTGCACTAGTGTCGGGAGATCCTACTGTGACATCACTTGGAAACTATCAGGAGGTTAGATATAACTTATTTTAGCTTATACTGCTTATCCTAGTCCAGAAATGGGAATGAACCCTAAGCCATATGTTCATTGTGCTGTACAGGCTCATGTTTTTAACTCCAAGTCCGGAGCTTGCGCTGCTTTTCTTGCGAACTACAACCAGCATACTTTTGCAAAGGTGTCATTCAGGAATATGCATTATAACCTGCCTCCTTGGTCAATCAGTATCCTTCCTGATTGCAAGAACACTGTTTATAACACAGCGAGGGTAAGAGAAAGGCGTTTCAATTTGATTTACATGCATGTGTAGACATGGAGATTTGTATAATGTGCTAAAACTGATATCGATATAAAATTTTGTGCGAAGATTGGTTCTCAAAGTGCACAGATGAAGATGACCCCTGTTAGAGGGTTTTCTTGGCAGTCATACAATGAAGAGACAGCCTCGTACGAAGACAATTCATTTACGGCAGCTGGATTGTTGGAGCAGATTAATACCACCAGAGACATGACTGATTATTTGTGGTATTCAACAGAGTAAGTGCCTTTGTATCTTTGTGTATTAGCATTACAAAAAAACCCGTATTTCTTTTTTGATTCATCAATATTTATCTTCTTCATTGATTTTTTATTCAGTGTGAAGATTGACCCCCGTGAAGGATTTTTGAGAGGTGGGAAGTGGCCTGTTCTTACAGTCTATTCGGCCGGCCATGCTCTGCATGTTTTCATTAATGGTCAATTATCAGGTGGGCAGCTTGTTATTTATTATTATTAAAATCTGGAAACAGAAATTTCGTTTGGTGCAAATTAGCTAAGCATTTAGTTACATAATGACTCTGGAATCACTCTTCTTCAGTTTGTTCATTTTATGGAAAAATAAAAGGTTCAATTGGATTTTTTTGGCAGGAACTACCTATGGAAGTTTAGAAAACCCCAAATTAACTTTCAGTCAAGGTGTAAATCTGAGAGTTGGTGTCAACAAAATTTCTCTACTGAGCATTTCTGTTGGTCTCCCGGTTTGTTCTTTCTCTGTCCCCCCCGGCAACACACACACACATATACATGCACTCACACAACCTTCTATGACTGCACACCTTCTCTTTATAAATCAGGAATTCTTTGACTTCCATACTATATTGTCATGTGTGATATTAACTTGTAGAATCTTCTTGTGTATGAACATAGAACGTTGGTCCTCATTTTGAAAAGTGGAATGCTGGTGTTCTTGGTCCAGTTTCACTTAGTGGTCTTAACAAAGGTAAATGGGATTTGACATGGCAAAAATGGTCGTACAAGGTTAGTTTTTTGAAATTCAATTTTGTGTCTCATAAATCTCATTGCTAATATCATTTCACTACTAATTGCCACTATTTTATCAACCAGGTTGGTCTAAAAGGAGAGGCTCTGAGTCTTCATTCTCTCAGTGGAAGCTCTTCCGTTGAATGGGTAGAAGGTTCCTCTATTTCTCAAAGGCAGCCATTAACATGGTACAAGGTGAGACTGTCATTCTTGTTTAGAGGATTCAGATACTCCTATGTAGATTGCCAATAGTATGTTGTCACGAGGAGTGGGGTCAACTATGCAGTGACAGCAACTTATTTCGAGCAAGAGTTACATTTAAAATGAGCATCTTTTCTTGAAAAAAGAATTTCTTAAAAGTAACTTGTACTTTTTTTAGCTTAGCCAAACATGCTAATTTGGGGATCTTGCTGAAACATGTTGATCAAGTTTATAATTGGTTGATTTTTTCTAAAGCTACTAAATCCCTGGCACGCTACAAATTTTGTTTTGTTTTCCAGACTACTTTCAATGCTCCGGGTGGAAACGAGCCTTTGGCTTTAGATATGAATACCATGAGTAAAGGTCAGGTGTGGATAAATGGTCAAAGCATTGGACGCTACTGGAATCAATACAAAGCATCTGGCAATTGTGGTGCCTGTAATTATGCCGGTTGGTTCAATGAGAAGAAATGCCTTAGCAAGTGTGGGGAAGCCTCTCAGAGATGGTAATATGGATACCTCCACTGTTTTCTTTATGATAAATAACACGTTGAAGACTAAATTAAATAAACTAATTTGTCATCCCTCTAATAGCTTAAGCTTTTAGCCAAACATGTCAATGGTATGAGAAAGTCAGAGGTCTTGAGTTCAAGTCTCGTTATCACCCATTTCTGAAAATTGTGCAGTGGTCAGACTTCAATAAAACCATGAAACTGGCCCAGCTAGTGAGAGGTCGTGTTGAGTACTGAATTTAAATATTACGTCCTCTCCCTAAGAACTTGAGGTTTTGGATGAGGTAGTTAAACATGATATTTGACTAAATCAAGAATGATTATTTTCAGGTATCATGTTCCTCGATCCTGGCTTCGTCCAACTGGAAACTTGTTGGTTATATTTGAAGAATGGGGGGGAAATCCCAACGGGATATTCTTGGCAAAAAGAGAGTTAGCAAGCGTGTGTGCAGATATATATGAATGGCAGCCAACATTGGTGAATTGGCAAATGCAAGCATCAGGGAAAGTCAACAGACCATTGAGGCCTAAAGCTCACCTCTCGTGTGCTCCCGGTCAGAAGATCTTATCTATCAAATTTGCTAGCTTTGGAACTCCTCAAGGCATCTGCGGAAGCTTCCGAGAGGGAAGTTGTCATGCCCATCATTCTTATGATGTTTTTGAAAAGGTATTACGGACTTTCAAAATCTCCGCTCATAGTATTTCAGATGCCCTTTTGTGTGGAATGTTAGGCACGAAGAATTTGATAGCAGTACACAATTAAAGAGGAAAAAGAAGATAAACTCTCATTTACGTACTGTCGAATATATATGGTCTGACCTTTACCTGCATCATTTTTTTTTATCTTGCAGTACTGCATTGGGCAACAATCTTGTGCTGTACCTGTAACCCCCGAGATCTTTGGAGGAGATCCATGTCCAAATGTTATGAAGAAACTTTCTGTCGAAGTCATTTGCAGTTAAAGAAAAAAATTGGTGCCAATGAATAAAAATTTCTGGTGTTTTATGTTTCTATTGGCTTTGCTGAGGTGAAGTTGTACATATACGCAACACACCGCCTATACGAAGCCCTTATGGATTTTGAAGATGATTTTGTACATTTACTAGTTATTGTACTTCGGTGTTCAGCTGCAATTGTGAAACAAAAGCTCAGGTCGAGGGATTTAAATGCACGTTGAGACGACACTAATGGAGTCCATGCGCAAATGTCCCTAGTGTTAGAAATGCAAGCTTTTGGCTTGCAAAATTGGTATTTGTATTTTTCCATGCAAGAAAAAAAAAGCAATTATTTTAGTTGCTATGTTCTTGTAAAACTTCTTGCAATTGTGCTATATACTATCAACCTTTATAGATCATTAGTTGTCTTCTCTTATAATCTTGTTAGTTTATGTTACATGTACACAACAAGTGTCCCCGACATGGTCGGGACATTGTTACTTCTTAGTTGCTGCTGATTGATATGATTTTCATATAAAAGAGTATCGTTGAAAAAACTAATTATATTTAGATTCTTTTTTTTCTTAGAGTGTGTCTGGTAGAAATTAAAATCGGATTAAAATTGAAAAACTAGTCGTTATTATTGACTTTTATTAGACGAGTGAGATCCAATAATGATCATTTGTTAACTTTGACTTGGATTAAAATTAAAATAAAATCCCAATTCAAACTTCATCAATCATCCTTAATCATTCATCCATTATCCATACTCAAAGTCACAATCATATATATTAAGCACCATACCTTAATACCAAAATTGAGAACTAGAAAATCCCAAAAAACAATCTTTATCCCAAATAAAAAAAAGGCACGTCAAAAAAAAAAAAAATGGGAAATTGCATTCACAACAATAATGAGTGAGCAGAATACATGTTGTGAGCAGAAATCATAGACGACAGATTCACAACAGATTGTGAGTCGATACAGATTTTTTGATGGGTAATCAATAAAATTGAGCCAACAGCCAACCTAACAGCTATAATATACTTCAATCGTTCATATATGACAACTGAATTTCTACAGGTAGAAAACGTATATCAAGTAACATGAGAAAGTGCAAAATTGTAAGAACCTGACCTCACGTAATCAGGAAGCAAAATGTTTTAAACACCGGAGACGGGAGACCTGAGGGCTGGGGTAAGCAGGCGGTAGCGTAGGTCGTTTTACAGTGGAAAAGGAGACACGTGATATTTGATGATGTGCTAATCATTTCTTTGTCGATGGCCTAATTTTAAATTTCTTCTGTGATTCTGACTCGGAAGAGTACATTGTTAAACCACCTGTTTGGTACGAATTTTAAGGAGATGGATGCTTTTAAGGGGAGACATGTACTTCTTACCTCTGATGTTGCTTCTTTTCTGTTTGTTATTAAATTGAAACCAATTGACACAAATTTCCTCAGGTCTCAAACCACAAAAGGTATTTGGATTGCACGGTGTGTTGGAATTGAACCTTGCACTCTTGTAATGGATTTAGAGGGCACTGATGGAAGAGAAAGAGAAGAGGTTTCGATGGAGCACTTACCCTTCGAATTTTCAGGATGATTTGCGGATTTAATGATTCATTCATTATTTCATATTCTTTTGCAATTATGTGTCTTCATCTCACTTAGCCTGCAAAACATTCTGCACTTAGTTTTCATGCCAAATAATTAAATGGTTTCTGAAAGTGTATCTTTACTCTCCTTTGGGCTAAGTAAGTTTACCATTCATCAATCAAAATCTTTCCCTTTGGAGCACCACTTTTTTGTCATAGAAGATTTTTTTTTTCCTGGTTAAATAGAGCCCAAAAGGCATAAAGTATATTTTCTGGAACATATTAAATGATATGGATCAACAAACCCGTAGCCTTGTGTAATCATTGTTGTAGTATGCAATGATGTTATGGTTGGTGGATCAAATGGAAGTTCTCTTATGTTCCAATAGTATCTGGGAGTTCATATTGACTGCGTGCATACTAGGGCAGCTTACTGGCTCTTAAGTTATCCTTCCTTTATTTGATAATTTTTATTTTATTTTTTTTCCAAAAACGTGGAGAAACAGACAAATTTGGAATTAGTTGACCTTTCTCTTCTATTCTGATCTTTTTGCTCCATTATAGGATGATACTGCATTTGAAAAGGAGAGTTCTCTTTTCGCCCTTGCCATTTCTGATATGATAAATATGTAAGATTGTTTTGTTGGTTCAAAAATTATGGTTATAACTATTACAATGTAATGAAGATGCTTGGGCTTTATTGTTTCATTAAATAAAACCTATACAATTCAGGTGGTGTCATGATATTGGTCGTGAGCAGGCTGCAAATAAGCCACTCTTAAAAACTGTATTCCAGGTAACTCAAAGACCTGCTCTGTACGAACAATAATTTGAAATATAAATGTCTCACCTATTTATCTTTATGATTAACAGGTCATGATGAGATTATAACTTTGATGTTTGTCATACGTGATAAAACAAGGGTATGTTCACCCTCTTCCAACGTTTCTATGATTCTGTTGAATGTGGTTTAAAAACTTAATTTGGTCCTATGGAGTGATCCTTTGATCTGCGAGAGCATTTTTTTCTTATAGACGCCGTTAGAAAATCTGGAACCTGTTTTAAGGGAAGACATTCAGAAGGTACACCATATTTTGACTTCTTACTGTATTATTATTTTATCGTAATGTGTTTGACTGCTAACCTTCAGTCTCTCACTGTCTCTCTGACCCTTCTTCTGAAGATATGGGATGGTGTTCCCAAGCCTCAAGCTCACAAAGAAACTCCCTTAAGTGAATTTTTTAATGTAAGCTGCTAACTTGGTAACTCTATCCTACATTTACCCTGATGTCACATAGCATCTTCTTAAATGATTGAATGGCAGGTTGAAGTTGTGGCTCTTTCCAGTTTTGAAGAGAAGGAAGAACAATTTAAAGAGCAGGTTCTGGTTCTATTTGAATTTATTAAAATGATACTCATGTTTTTAAGTGCATGTACTTTGGACCGCTCTGAATTCATTCTTTTACCCTTTGTCTACTTATGGATTTGTTTTCTGAGAGATGGATGCCCTTTCAATTACTGAATTCAGGATCTAACTTTTTGGCGTTGGTTTGTGGTTTTAATTAAGGTGGAGAGTCTAAGACAGCGATTCTTTCATTCTATTGCACCTGGTGGGCTTGCTGGGGATAGACGGGCTGTAGTTCCAGCTTCAGGCTTTTCATTTAGTGCACAACAGAGTTGGAAGATCATTAAGGTGAACAAGGACCTTGATCTGCCTGCGCACAAGGTTGTGATCTTAAACATTTACTTGTAAAGTCACTAATAAACTATTCAGTAGTTGTATCATCGACGTATTTAGCTTTTGATCTGTATGTAGGTGATGGTTGCCACTGTACGTTGTGAAGAGATTGCTAATGAAAAGTTCTCTTCATTTACTGAAAATGAGGTAAATCTTCTTAAATATGTTTAAAAGTTTTATTTGATGCATGATACTGATTATTGGATCCATATTATAGGAATGGTGTCAACTAGAAGAGACTGTACAGTCGCAGCCGGTGCCAGGCTTTGGGAGGAAGCTCAGCTCAATTCTTGATGCTTGTCTATCAGAGTAAGTTGATAACTGTCTGCATTTATATTCTTCCAGTAGCCTGGCAACAGTCATCATAAAACATCAATGATTTGCAAGATGTAAGTGGCTACATTTTAGAAGTTGCAGAGTAATTGAGATGCGAGTGATGCTGCTTTTCCGAATCCTCTGTTCTTTGTTTGGATTCCAGTTGTTATAGTTAGTTCAGCTTGTACGCTCATCCTTTGGAAATTGACGCACAGTTTGAACATTCTCCATAATGGGTTGTACTGGAATTTACGGTTGTTGGACCTGATTGTGGAGTTGGGACTGGTTTCTGAGGATAAAAGACAAGAAAAGCATAAATAGGTTGGAAGAAGACAGGCATGAACATGTTTCAACAAAATATCAAGCAACATTCTCTGTATCTTAATCTCAAAGCATGGAATGAGAGTTGTATCCATGTCATAGGAAAAGGTTCGCATTTTTTGGCGGATCTCTCATGTTAGTTTGATGGCAGTTTCCCAGGTGAAAATGGGCA